TCACTGAATCTAATGGGATTTACAAATAAGCGTGCACAGGGCGATTGCCTCAGGGAGATAATAGTAAAGCATACCGAGTTCCGCTAACCTAAATAAACAGCTGACCTAGTCCAGTGGAAGCAAGCAAGCTGGGTTTTGTGTGCCTCTCACCTTTTAAGCTCCTTCTCCCCCTTCCTCACTAAGGGAGACATAGGTGGATTAAGTTGATTAGTGCTTAACCTGCTTGAGATCCCTGATGGATACTGAAGGTTATTTATAACTTCCTAAGTGAAGACAGTGTATTTACTTTCAAATTACAGCCAGCCCTCCACATTCGCTGGGGTTAGAGGGGCAAGCCTATGGAAATGAAATATCGCAAATAAATTGCTGGGTTTTTTTTAACCTTGCAATTTCTAGGTTATCCAGCATGACTCTATAGTAAACTTCTGCTGAAAGTTGAAGGTAGTATTGCATTGAGGGACCTAGAGATTCCTAGAGTACCTTGAGTCTGTAGATCGTATGCAATATGACTCCACTCCAGGCACAGATTAACACCTCCCAGCAACAGATTTTCCCAGGCTCAGGCAGGCCTTCAAATGCTAATGAAGGTGATCAGCTAAACATTCACACCTAACTGCAGCAGGGAAGAGCTCCTTGCCCCACCCCAGCCATTCCACAGATATATAAACCCATTGTCCTAATTCCAACAGACCTCACTACCTCTGAGGATGCTTGCCATAGATGCAGGCGAAACGTCAGGAGAAATGCCTCTAGAACATGGCTCTATAGCCCGAAAAAACCCACAAGAACCTAGTGACTCCACTTTAACTGCCATGGCTCAATGCTATGAAATCATGGAAGCTGTCTTCCCTAATTCTTCTATTATTTCATAGCTTTAGTATACTCAGGAATTGAAGTTTTGTCTCTTCAATTCTATACTTTTTTGCGCATTCTCTTATTTCAGTTTGGAAACTTACCTCAGAGCTATTGGTCACCTTAAACTACTCCATACTTTTACAGTATTTTAGCTGTCTAGACATTATTTATTTATTTACGACATTTATATGCTGCCCTTCTCACACCGAAGGAGACTCATTATTTATTATGTGGTATTATTTATTATGTGGTATTATTTATTATGTGGTATTATTATTATTTATTATGTGGTAAATGTGTGTTATGTGATATAGTTTCTTTATTTAAGTCTTTTAATCTTTTGTTACTTTTTGGTTAGTGATTATAAGTTTATATTGAGGATGTTTTATTCACTGTTTTGATTTGATTTGTCTCCTTTTTGTTTATTATGGCACTCTTGGGTTGTTGAAGGTTTTTTCGAGGTGGTTGAAGGTTTTTGTTCATTTGAACAAAATTAACAAAATCAGGCTATCAGTACTAAAGAACTCTAAAATTATAACAGTAAATAAAGAACAAAACTCGAACACAGGGAGGCAGAAACCAAATTTTAAATGGATTTATCTCTCTAGCACAGTGTTTCTCAACCTGTGGGTCGGGACCCCTGGGGGGGGTCACAAGGGGGTGTCAAAGGGGTTGCCAAAGACCATCAGGAAAACACAGTATTTTCTGTTGGTCATGGCGGTTCTATGTGAGAAGTTTGGCCCAATGCTATCGTTGATGCGGTTCAGAATGCTCTTTGATTATAGGTGAACTATAAATCCCAGCAACTACAACTCCCAAATGTCAAGGTCTATTTTCCCTGAACTCCACCAATGTTCAGATTTGGGCATATTGAGGATTCGTGCCAAGTTTGGTCCAGATTAATCATTGTTTGAGTCCACAGTGCTCTCTGGATGTAGGTGAACTGCAACTTCAACACCCAAGGTTAATGCCCACCAAACCCTTCAATGATTTTCTATTGGTCATTGGAGTTCTGTGTGCCAAGTTTGGTTCAATTCAATCACTGGGGGAATTTGGAATATTCTTAGATTGTAGGTAAACTATAAATCCCAGCTACTGCAACTCCCAAATGTCAAGATTCTATTTTCCCCAAACTCCACCAGTGTTCACATTTGGGCAGATTGAGTATTCATGCCACGTTTGGTCCAGATCCACCATTGTTTGAATCCACAGTGATCTCTGGATGTAGGTGAACTACAACTCCAAAACCAAAGGACACTGCCCACCAAACCCTTCCAGTATTTTCTGTTGGTCATGGGAGATCTGTGTGCCAGGTTTGGTTCAATTCCATCATTGCTGGGGTTCGGAATGCTCTTTGATTGTGGGTGTACTATAAATCCCAGCAACGACGACTCCCAAATGACAAAATCAATTTTTTTGAGTGAAGGACATACATTGGTGTCAATTTCTCCAGTGGTTTTTGAGTTCTGTTAATCCCACCAAAGACTTATTTATTACTAGCCACCCCCTGCCATGCGTTGCTGTGGCCCTCAAGGGGGTTTCTGTGTGGGAGGTTTGGCCCAATTCTATCATTGGTGGGATTCAGAATGCTCTTTGATAGTAGGTGAACTATAAACTCCAGCAACTACAACTCCCAAATGACAAAATCATAATTTTTTGAGTGATGGTCACTCCTTGTGTTGTGAGACGTTTTGTTGCCAAATTTGGTGTGATTTCGTTCATTGGTTCTTTTGTTTTTAAGGCACTCATTATGCACAGAGCATTTTTAGATAGATAGATGGATAGATAGATTTATTTATTTACCACACTTTTATCCCGTCCTTTTCAGCCTGAAGACGACTCAGGACAGCGTACAGACTGGCAACAATTAGATGCCAAACACACATACTATTACCAAAACCTTTACCTACTTATTATTATTATGATTACCTTCATCATACTATAGAGAAAAAAATCCACTTAAAATCCTGTTTCTGCCTCCTGCAGAATTCTGGGGTTTGTAGTTTAGGAAGGAGTCTTTAACAGCCACACTAAACTACAAACCCCAGAATTCTGCAGGAGGCAGAAACAGGATTTTAAGTGGATCTCTCTAGTGCAGTGTTTCTCAACCTGGGGGTCAGGACCCCTTGGGGGATCTCGATGAGGTGTCAGAGGGGTCACCAAAGACCATCAGAAAAGACAGTATTTTCTGTTGGTCATGGGGGTTCTGTGTGGGAAGTTTGGCCCAATTCTATTGTTGATGGGGTACAGAATGCTCTTTGATTGTAGATGAACTATAAATCCCAGCAACTACAGCTCCCAAATGTCAAGGTCTATTTCCCCCGAACTCCACCAGTATCCACATTTGAGCATATTGAGTATCCATGTCAAGTTTGGTCCAGATCTATTATTGTTTGAGTCCACAATGCTCTCTGGATGTAGGTGAACTACAACTCCAAAACTCAAGGCCAATGCCCACTAAGCCCTTCCAGTGTTCTGTTGGTCATGGGAGTTCTGTGTGCCAAGTTTGGTTCAATTCCATTGTCGGTGGAGTTCAGAATGCTCTTTGATTGTAGGTGAACTATAAATCCCAGCAACTACAACTCCCAAATGACAAAATCATAATTTTTTGAGGGATGGTCACTCATTGTGGTGTGAGACGTTTTGTTGCCACATTTGGTGTGATTTTGTTTATTGGTTCGTTTTTAAAGTACTCATTATGCACAGAACATCTATCTATCTATCTATCTATCTATCTATCTATCTATCTATCTATCTATTGGCTTGTTTGATCAAGAAATAATTTGGTTCTAAACTCGCTTCGTTTCCATGGGGCGCCAGCGTTTCGAATTTCTGAGGACTTCCGAAATTTAAGATTTCAAAATTTTGAAATTTACGAAATTTCGTTAATTACGAATCGATTCGTTAATGGCGGACGCGATTGCGCAATGCGCTAAAAACACCTCCAAACGGGACAGGGGGAACTTCTGAAATTCAGGATGAAATTAAAATACATTAAGTTAGTAAAAATACAAATTAAAATCACTTAAAATTAATAAAATAATAAAATAAATAATAAAATAATAAAATAAAATAAGTAATAAGATAATAAAATATCTCCAGGAGGAGGAGGAGGAGGATGGGGAGGAAAGGCAACGCTGGCACCTTTTCTCTCCTTCTTTCCCGTCTTAATAATTATGAAATAATTATGAAATAATTACGAAAATTTGGAAAAATTGTTTCGATTCTTAATTACGCTTCACACTATTCCTGCATGGCTCGATATTGGATCGTAAGCTAATTTAAATACGAATTAATAACGACTTTAGAAACTAAAGAACACGATCAAACAAGCCTACTATCTATTTACCAACCACAGTTTTATCCCATCCTTTTCTGCCTGAAGGCTACAGACTGGCAACAATTAGATGCCGAACACACATACTATTACCAAAACCTTTACCTACCTATTATGATTATGCTTAGCCTCATCACACTAAAGCAGGGGTCCTCAAACTAAGGCCCGGGGCCCGGATACGGCCCTCCAAGGTCATTTACCCGGCCCTCGCTCAGGGTCAACCCAAGTCTGAAACTATTTGAAAGCACACAACAACAACAACAACAATCCTATCTCCTCAGCTAAAAGCAGGCCCACACATCCCATTGAAATACGAATAAGTTTATATTTGTTAACATTGTTCTTCATTTTAATTATTGCATTGTGTATAAGATATGTGTGGTGTGCATAGGAATTCATTCATGTTTTTTTTCCAAATTATAATCCGGCCCTCCAACAGTTTGAGGGACTGTGACCTGGCCCTCTGTTTAAAAAGTTTGAGGACCCCTGCACTAGAGGAAAAAAAATCCACTTAAAATCCTGTTTCTGCCTCCTGCAGAATTATGGAGTGTGTAGTTTAGGAAGGAACCTTTAACAGCCACACTAAACTACAAACCCCAGAATTCTGCAGGAGACAGAAACAGGATTTGAAGTGGATCTTTATCTCTCTAGTGTGATTGAGGAAGGCGAGCTGCCCGCCCAGGCTCCACTTTGCCCACTGCAAAAGCACCTCCAGGGGGCGCCCGTGCGTGACGAGCGCGCGCGCTTCCAAAACACGATGCTGAAGAGGCCAAGGAGGAGTTAAAATACTAATAACAATATATTTGCCCGGTTGTGTCCCGCTTTGCCGCCACCGCCTTGGTTTTCCTTGCTTCCCCACCCTCCCTCCATCGCTGGCCTTTTTAAAAAAAATATGATTCTTCCTTCTCGCTGAAGAAAGCAGCTGCCTCCCTTCGGAACCTAAGCAGATTAAGCCGGGAAGCGCCTGAAGGGCACCGGCGTTGGCGAGCGGAGTTGGCCCAGGAGGAGGAGGAGGGAGATTTGGCTCCGAAATAGGACGCCGCTAAGCCGCCTTTGCGCGCCTTTTGGGAGCCGGGGTTTGGGCTGAGGGGACAGAAAGGAGGAGGAGGAAGAGGCGCAGGCATGGAAGAGCCCTGAAAGGAAAACCCAAGGCCTGTCTTTCGGTTTCCATGACAGTTCATGAGGTAATTTGAGTTTGTTGTTGTCTCCCACAATGCTCAAGGCAGAAAGGAAGAGGCTGTGACAAGAGTTGGGACTCTATTTTCCTGTGTTGTGATTATTATACTGGATGTGAAGAATTGTGAAGGGAAAGAGGAGGAGGAGGAGGAGGAGGGGGGCGCTGCTTGGAAGAAGACCCTCCCTCAGCCTCTTGCTTTCCATCTCAGAGAAGGAGAGAGGGAGAGAAGGGAGAGGAAAGGCGCGCCAAATGTCCCTGGCTCAGGTGGGCTCCTGAAGGGGGAAAAAGAGCCCTCGTCGTCGTCGTCGTTGTCACCTCTCCGGCGTCCAATCAGGGGCCGCCAACCTGCCTCCGTCTCTGAGATGCCCCTCCAACGGATCTCGGTCGTCCCGGCCGGCAATGGGAGGAGAAGTTCCCAGGGAAGGAACAAAGAGAAGAGCAAGGAAGTCGAGGTAAGAAGAAGAGAGGGAGGAGGAGGAGATTGAACTCTCTCTGTCTCTGTGTAGGGGTGTGTTTGTGTGTGTGTGTGGGGGGGGGAAGGGTGTGCTTATGGGGAAGGAAAGAAACAGAAGCAGGCACCCTCCCTTTCCCTCACTTGGAATCGTGAGGAAAGCCCTTTATTTCCCCCCTGGTGAATGAAATGCAAGCTTGTCAAAGGCATTTGCCTTTCTGTCAGGCTGCAGACAAGGGAGAGAGATGAGGGGAGGGGAGGAGGAGGTGTGTGTGTGTAGATCTATGGCCCCTTCCTTCCTCACAGCTGACTAAAACCCCACATTGTCTGCTTGGAACTGGGATCTATGGCAGTGTGGACTCAGATATCCCATTTGAAATCAGATAATTGTGGATGATCCACTCAGATATTCCAGTTCAAAACAAATATTGGGGTTATCCATTCAGATATTCCAGTTCAAAGCCGATAATTGTGGTGATCCACTCAGATATTCCAGTTGTTTTGGATTTATCCACTCAGATACATTGTGGATTTATCCACTCAGATATTCCAGTTCAAAGCAGATAATTGTGGATGATCTGCACAGATATTCCAGTTCAAAGCAAATATTGTGGCTTACCCACTCAGATATTCCAGTTGTGGATTTATCCACTCAGATATTCCAGTTGAAAGCAGATAATTGTGGGTTATCCACTCAGAGATTCCAGTTCACAGCAAATATTGTGGATTACCCACTCAGAGATTCCAGTTCAAAGCAAATATTGTGGGTTATCCAGTCAGATATTCCAGTTCACAGCAAATATTGTGGACTACCCATTCAGATATTCCAGTTCAAAACAGATAATTGTGGGTTATCAACTCAGATATTCCAGTTCACAGCAAATATTGTGGATTATCCACTCAGATATTCCAGTTCAAAAGCAAATATTGTGGGTTATCGACTCACATATTCCAGTTTAAAGCAGATAATTGTAGATGATCCACTCAGATATACCAGTTCAAAGCAAATATTTGTGGATTACCCACTCAGATATTCCAGTTCAAAGCAATTATTGTAGATTATCCATTCAGATATTCCAGTTCAAAGCAAATATTGTGGATTATCCATTCAGATATTCCAGTTCAAAGCAAATGTTGTGCCACAAAGACATGAATGTATATTATTATTATTATTATTATTATTATTATTATTATTTTAAACTGTCTATTTTATGACATTATGTACTTATCCTTGATGTATTTGAATTGCTGTTTACATTATTTTAATGTGTTGTAAACCGCTTTGGGTCCCCTGAGGGAGAAAAGCGAGATATAAATAAATATTTATTATTATTATTATTATTATTATTAATATTATTGTATTATTGAATGCTTTCATGGCCGGAATAACTGGAAATCTGAGGATGCCTGCCATAGATGCAGGTGAAATGTCAGGAGAGAATGCTTCTGGAACATGGCCATACAGCCCAGAAAACTCACAACAATCCATTATTATTATTATTCTGCCCTGATATTTTGGCTGTGTGGAAAGGCCCTCTATCTATCTATCTATCTATCTATCTATCTATCTACCTATCTCTGTATAGGGTTTTGCTTGAATATAAACACATAGGATAACTTTATTGTATTGCACATCAAGCAACAAAATTACACATTAGTCAGGTAGAATTACAAAACAAAACAGCCACATATGTAAGTACACATGCACAGATAGAGGTGGGATACATATCTCTATCTATCTATCTATCTATCTATCTAGGGAGAGAGGGGGGCATTATTCGTCCTGCACTTGGGATGAGATGCATTCTTGTGTGTGTTTAAAGGAGCCCTGGTGGCACAGCAGGTTAAACCTCTGAGCTGCTGAACCTGTTGACCAAAAGTCCAGTGGTTCGAATCTGGGGAGTCAGGTGAGCTCCTGCAGTTAGCCCCAGCTTCTGCCAATCTAGCAGTTAAAAACATGCACATGTTCATAGATCAATAGACACCCCTCTGGCAGGAAGGTAACAGCCCTCCATCCAGTCATGCTGGCCACATGACCTTGGAGGTGTCTATGGACAACTCCGACTCTTCAGCTTAGAAATGGAGATGAGCATCACCACTAAGAGTCGGACACGGCTAGACTTAATGTCAAGGGGAAACCTTTACTTTATATATATACACACACACATATTGCTATTATTAATATATTTATTTATACCCCACTTTATCTCTCCTGAAGTGGATGCAAAGCAGCTTAACATAAAAACATCAGCACAGCGTTTAAACTGTACAAATAGTTAAACAGAATGAAATATCAACAGTATTAAAAGATTCACAGTTAAAAGCATTCAATGATATTTGATGCACTTTCAAAACTACACACACACACACACACATTATTGTTATGTTTATCTATAATCCACTTTTTCTCTTCACAAGGAGACACAAAGTGGCTTACATTAAAAACCTTTTCAATGCAATTTAAAACCTACAAATATACAAACATTAAAACAGAATTGGTATTTTTTTTAAAAAAAATTAGTTAAAATCCATAAAACACACATATTCAAACTAAACACCACAGCACCCCCTATATATATATATATACACACACACACACACACACAAATACATACAGGGTGTCCCAAAAGTCTCCATACATAGGGGGAAAATGCACAAACTCATATTTTATATTACATTTTATATTTTTGAATATTTTGACTTTTTGTAGAAGAGGGGTGGCCAACACACACACACACACACACACATATATATAGTAAATATTTTGCAATTGATGTTTTTGTAAATAAAGGTACATTTAGCAACAGCTTCCCATTTTCCTTATGTATGACAACTTTTGGGACACCCTCTCTCTGTGTGTATGTGTACACACACACACTCCAGATATTTCTGCCTCACCAAAAGTAATGCTGTGCTTTGGGTCTGATAATACCATTGAAAGAGGATGCTCTCAGCTACTTGCCTAATGGCAATTCAGAGGTACATATCTACTCAGGATATTCCTGCCTCACAAAAGCTAATGTGCTCTTACTTATAACACAGTTGAAATAGGATGCCTTGACTACTTGCTTAATGACAACCAGACGGTTCAGAGGTGCATGTATTCAAGACATTCCTGCCTCACAAAAGCTAATGTGCTCTGTGACTTGTAACACAATTGAGATAGGATTCCCTGACTACTTGCCTAATGGCAACCAATCAGTTCATAATTGCCATATGAATCATTTCTGTGAAAAGCATGTTGGGCAGTATGTGATAGAGCGGCAAATATTGTACAGGGACAAAGCAAATATGACATCTTGTTCTCGTTGACAACTCTCAGGCATTTAAACTGGGTATTCGTTTATGTGTGGAGGGAGGCGTGTTGCCCAAGTCCTCTGCAGACAATGAGCATTGTTCTTTCACTTTGGGATGAGATGCTAAAAGGCAAGGCAACATCTTCTTCCAGGAAAAGCGGCTATTGCAAAAGATAGAAATACATTGTGTTGTACAGAAATGCAATCAAATAGCAATACCAGATGCCTGTAAAATGTGGGTGTAGCATCTTTCAGACACACACTGTTCTCCATCGCTGTTGTACTCATTCCATTGTTCTCTGTCATTTTGGTGGCGGCAGGGAGGTTTATTAGTAAAACAATTAGGACTGCTAAGCAGGAAATTCTGGAAACATAAATATGCAAGCCTAAGTAGTTATCCTACATCATTTTAATTTTAAAGTACATCATTGCTCGCAAGTCTCTAAAAAATGATTTGCAGCAGGCTATCCAAGAGAAGTAGATTTGGGCAGATTACTTTTCCCCCTCCATAAAGACTTTGGGCTTATGGGAAATGAAGGTGTGACTACTGAGGTCTTTTACCTTCTTTGTTTACATTAAGGATACAAGTTTTGCATTGAAATGATTGTGACTGGGCAGAAAACAAATTAGAATATTTAAATGTTTGACTGAGTAAATTTCACTGTATTTCCCTGGTGTTTTTCTATGATGTATTCATAGTTTATTTGATCTTTTGATTTCATGTATCAACAGTGTATGCACTGCAAGTTATGTAGCACAGTAGTATAACATACCAGTAGATTTAATTAACAGGTGATGAGAGATCTTTATGTAGCCTGATAGTTTTTGAACTAAACACAGTGATTATTACTCCCATATTTTCATGAATAATGTTTTCTGATGTCATTTTTTTCAAACAATAGAATTGCATTTTCCCAAAATGGTCTTGTTTTAATTAATAATTTGAAACATATTGTTGGAGACAGTGAAGTATCAGGTTAGAGTTTGGCTTGTTGGATATCAACTTGAAGTGAAAGTGGTTCAAAGAAAGATGTGGGATATGAAAAAGGTAAAATGGTAATGACAGTGCAATGAGGTATCAGCTTAATTCTTACTTGTATAAGCAAAATGTGATATCCTCAAGTTCTGTAATTAGGATAAAGAAACTAGTTCTTGTTTTGAAATTATTATGTAAACACCCTCTCATTGAAAACTTTTATTCAGTGGGATACTTTTTATCTATATGGAGTGATAAATTGGATTTAATTCAAAAAGCCTTAAGTTCTTGTTTGGGATGCATGATAGTCCAGGATGTCATGATGAATCCAATCAAAAGAGTATTCAAAAAGATTCACCAAACACTGTAAACATATAGTTAATTAGTTCTTTCTTTGAGAGAGAAAAAACAAGGTATTGATTCTTAGACAGTTGCACGTCTGTTGTCTGCTTTGTAGAATCTTCTGCTTCTGTTCACTCATTTCACTTCTCTTCAAAGAAAATATTGCTCCCCATTGGCATTAATACATATGGATAAATATAATGTGGCAGCTCCATGGAAGATTTCTACTGTCTTTAGAAATCTTTACAGTATACAGCTCAGTCTCTTTCTGTGGACTTACAGCATAGGCTAGCAAAGAACTTTAGTGAGTTCTGACTGGAATGTAAATATGAGGAAGAGATACAGTTTTGTACAGTTATGTTTAAGGTTTCTAATACATTTTAGTCT